AACGCGAGGTGCACTGCCTTTCTGTTGACAAGAAAAAAAGGAGCGCTGTACGCTTTTTTTTATGTCGTCAGGCAACGACTGAATCAGCTGGGTATTTTGCGTGAGTGTTGCTGTTGATATTAATCTAATCTTATTTTCAAGCTTTATTTTCTAAAAGCCGTGCAAATTAGATTATTGTAAATTTGACTGAACAGTAAACTTTAAGAATTATTTTTAATGTGTTAATATGAGATTTTTTCTATCAGACATTATCTTTTCTATTTTCCACTGTAAAAATTATTACATCATTATTATATTTTATGAGGTTATTTTATTGTTTTATGAAGATTAAGTGATGATAAATATAATAAGCAGTGCAAATTCATTTGGCTTGTGAATTTGACTTACTAATAATTATTTTTTTTAAATCTGTTTTGTGTTAATGTGATTGTGACATGTTTCGGTCCGATATTACATGATCTATGCATACTGCCACTATAAATAAGTTATTTTCTGAAGGGTTTGACATGTGGCCCTTCAGTTTTGTTTGCAAACTTGATGTGGCCCTCGGGTATAAAAAGTTTCCCCACCACTGTCTTATAACATAGTAAGTGTAATCATGCATACACTATAATTTATTTTTATACTTCACAGAACTCTATATCTAAACCAGAAACAATTTTGTACAAGCCTATCTAAAGGGTTAATGCTGCCAGCTGATGATCAACAGTAAAAAATGACAAATTTGACCTCTTCCCAACAGGGAAAACCAGAAGCACTCAAGAATGCATGATTATACAGTGTCATGGCTTTATCAAAAATATCATATTGAAAGTCAATGGGAAAGTCAAAAACAGCCACAAACATAATAAAAGTGAAGTCCATTTGAACAACGCACAAGGGTTAAATGTTTATTTCAAAAGTGTTTAAAATTAAAGTCCTACTGGAGTTAAACTCGTAGAGCCAAAAAAGACTCCAGGCTGACCTCTGCTTCTATTGACAGGGCTTCCTGTGTCCTCTTCAATAGAGAACCTACTTTTCCACCCTCCTCCCAGAATAACCTTAAAACTCAAAATGCCCAAAGTACAGCTCGGTAACGGCAAAAGCAGCTCCAAATCCGGTAATGGACCCTTATGCCCGGATAACAGCTGCAACCTTTATGACACTAGTGAAGGAGGGATCGGTCAGGGCAAACCGCAGCTCCATCTCGGAAGACAACGAATAGAGGAGCGAATCAACGGTATCCTACCCGCCTCCATATACATCCGACGAGATGGCGGGACGCCACCGTTAGCGGTAAAACAATCAGGCAAACCATTAGCTCTGCACGCCGCCCTTCACGGTCAGTCATCCAACGGGAAGACCAAAAATGAAGCGGAAAAAACGCGGCAAATTAAATCCAACGGCATTCTAGACAAACCCATTCTCCAAAGAGACACTTCCTGCCTGGCGGCCAGCGAGAAAGACCCCCGCAGTGAGATTTCAGGGAAAAGTCAGCCATCGGGATTCCACAAAACCTCTCTTGAGCACTTCAGTCGATCTCTCAAGGAGGCCACTGTGAGTTTAGTACGGACCGAGGACCTTCGGACCTTTGAAAAGAACTCACGCAAGTCCTCCGGATTCTCAAAACCTCTTTCCACCGAGCGGCCGCAAGGGGGCGGCAGAGCGTCTCAGGAAAGCGATGGTTACTGTCCGGATGCAGAGCTCAGTGATTCTGAACCCGAAGCCAAAGGGAAGTGCAGGCAAGGAGGAAGGACTCAAAACCAGAGAGGAGATTATGTCAAGTCTGCCAGTCGAGCAAAACACTCTTATGGCTCTAGGACATCGGTGCAAAGGTGACAATCTTCAAAAAGCATTACAAACATCCCACTGCCACAAGTTATTATGGTTTCTTAGACTTCTGGTGGTACATCGGAAGTGCCAGATTCTAGTTTTCCTCTGTTGAGGATCATTTGTTTGCTTTTTGTTGAGTGCCAAAACATGGCTGGCTGGTTGGGGAAGTGAAGTTAGTCTATTTGTGTGTGTGTGTGTGTGTGTGTGTGTGTGTGTGTGTGTGTGTGTGTGTGTGTGTGTGTGTGTGTGTGTGTGTGTGTGTGTGTGTGTGTGTTGGGACTGATTTATCACTGTGTTTTCTATCCTGCCGATGTGTTTCTGCTGCCCTTGGACTCATGAGAGTATTATGGGTGGTGAAGCAGTGTTGTACATAAAAAGCAAGGTCGTTTTTTTAGACTGTACATAGTAGTTCGTGTTGAGACGTGGAAAACATTGAGGTGTTTTCCACGTACAGAAACATCATACTTTCTTACTGACATGCTTATGCAAAAAAAATAAAAGACTTGAGGACTCTGATCTGACAAATGATGATTGTTCTGACTGTTGCTGTTTCTATTATAGCCCTCAGTTCCTTCCTCTTTGCCTTTTCTTCCTCCTGCTTGCTGGTTTCTGTCATTTCTTTGCTGATGTTAAAGTTGGCATGCTTGAGCTGGAAGAGAGAGTGTGTTGGTGTGCGGCTGAAATGCAGTCTTCCATCTGTGTCTTTGGTGAGAGTGGAGAGTGAATGAAGCGTCAGAGCTTGATCTGTATATTTAGAATATATTTCAGTACAGTCTTTCTTTCTTTTTCTACTCAAATCTATTTTCTGTCACTTCTCAGCATCTGAGTCTTTTTTAATGTTTCAAAACACTATGAAAATGGCCTGTAATAAAGCAAGAATGCATTTTTTGTTTGGCTTTTAGATGTAGTATTTCACCACTAGACAAGTAACATGTTTTGGCTTAAACTCATTCATGTGTCCATCATTTGCAACACTGTATTAATGGCAAAAACAGACATTTATATACAGACATTTGTAATATCTTGTGCAATTTTGGTGATTTTTTTCACTACAAATGATCAAAGATTAAGTCAAAAACAGTTGAAGACAAAAAGAAAGTCTTTTTAGCTATCTAAAAAGTTATACAATGACCATTTTCATCTCAAGCAAATGCATCTTGATTGTAGAATGTTTTGATCTTTTTATTTCGAAAAACTAAATGCTTTGAAAACAGGTTTTTATGCAGTGCATGAAACTTTATGAATTTAAAACTATTGTTACTTTTATACCAATCAATATAGATTATGAATAAGATTATGACGATATAATAACCTTGGATAAAAATTTCACAGTTTATATATATATATAAACACACACACACACACAATATTAATTTTTTTATAAAAAAAACTAAGGATGTTTAATGCTGTAAAAGGTTTCATTTTCAAACAAATATTGTTCTTTTAAAAACTGTTCATTTATCAAAAAAAATAAAAAATCTAATTTTCACCAAGATATTAAGTTGCACAAAATATAAAAAAAAATGCTTATTGCTATTATTTTCATATGAGGCTGAAGACTGGAGTGATTTCTGCTGAAAATATCAAAAACTATATTAAAGACAATATTAACTATATTTACACAGGGTTTCTGTTGGGTCTTAAAAAGTCTTAAATGTCAAAATCCAAATTTTAGCCCTTAAAAAGTCTAAAACAGGTTTTAATTTTCCTTTGTTCATCTATAGCTACCCAATCTGGTCAAAACCCATATAATCACCAACAAATCCATCTCAATAAAACTATTTATATAAGAAGGGCATTTGTAACTTTTTTATGATAATGGTTTAATTTAATTAATTTCCTTACAATAATATTCGTTTTAAAGAAGGAATGCTCGGATCAGGATTTTTGCAGCTGATACCAAATACTGATTCCTTGTCATGGTGATCGGCCGATACCAAGTACCGATTCTGATGCTTCAAGCCTCATAATGCATAAAGCATTTTTCCTCCAAGTATGATCCTTAGGTGGAGATCTCTCCTTACCTAAGAGAATAAATGAAGGATGCTGCATATAATCTCTTAAACATGTATCTTATAACCATTTAGTGTGGACATGTCATGGTCAGAAGCAGCTTTACACCAAATAATAGTTTAAAAACAGATAAAAACACTGGTAAGAAAAACAACTAACAAAGCAATTTAGAAACATTGCAAATGATGGAAGAATTCAACATGTTTCAATCAAGAAAAAGTTTAGAGTGCATATTTGATGCATACGAAGTTAAACCTATAAATACATATTTATTGCAGCAAGTATATGACAAAAAGTATTAAATATTCAAGTTTAAAAATATTAATAAAAATGTTTATTTCGTTAAAATGTTCAGTCAGGTTTTAGTGAACTTGTAATATTGTCAAAAATACAGAACTTTCAGTTCTTCTATATGTAAAAAGGCCTAAATAAATACAAAACCATTCCAATATTTTGCTCTCAAACTATCATCTGGTTCCTCTGTCTGTACACTCATAAACAAACACCTGCCATTGGGTCATAAAATTGACCAGATTGGTGAGTACCTTTCGAGTCATAAAATGATTCTCCAGATGATCGATCGGAGGATCCCTGTTACTGCTGAGGACAACGACCTGGACAGATTGTTGTGCATAGATTTAGTTTATTATAGTTTTTAAAACTTTAAAAGCATTTGCCTCACAGCAAGAAGGTCACTAGTTCAAGCCTCGGCTGGGTCAGTTGGCTTTTATGTCTAGAGTTTGCATGTTCTCCGTATCCTCCGGTTTCCCTCACAGTCCAAACGCATGCAGTACAGGTGAATCGGATAAACTAAAATTGACCGTAGTGTATGTGTGTGTGTGGATGTTTCCCAGTGATGGGTTGCAGCTGGAAGGGTATCTGCTGTGTAAAACATATGCTGGATAAGTTGCCGGTTCATCCCCCTGTGGCAACCCCAGATAAATAAAGGGACTAAGCAAAAAAAAAAAAAAAAGTGTAAGGATACAGGTCAAGCTAGCTTGTTTTTACACAACATTTTAAAATATTTTGCTAAGAAATAGCCAAAATATAATTTTTTTATTAATAATGTTTTATTAAATGTATTCAATTATAATAATTTTTTGAAAGGGCAAATAAAAATCTTTTCCATCTGGGCCATTTGAAAAACTCCTTAGCCTTTAGCCCTTTATGAGTCTAAAATTTCATTCATAATAGTCTTAAAAAATGTCTTTTGAAAGCCTTAAATTTAACTTGGTGAAACCCTGTAAATATATGAGCATTAATAATTTTCTGTTTCTGTATTTATCAAATGAATGCTTTGCATAAGCGAATTCACAATCCAAACTGGTGTACATGTTTGCCACTTCAGATCGTCAGGTCACACAGATCATGTTCATGTGAAGCTTTAAAGCAGTGATTAGCGTTCTGTCATTTTTCTTCAACCTCATTCTTCTCCCAGAGCCTCTGGCTAGTCCAAATGGAAGTGTTCTCTGCAGTTTTATTAATCTTCTCCGCTCCAGAAACCACCATTTCAGCACTCTGTGGAGTTTCCTCGGGCTGCACCTGCCTCCTGCTGTCAACAAGCAGAGAACGCCATAATCACTGAATCATTTACATTTTCAAGAGCTTTAACACAGAGCCTGCGCTTGATAATAATGATGATCGCTGAACAATTTCATTTCTTCATTCTTAAATGTGTTATGTAAAGTCATGGCTGCTTTGTTACCCTCATAAATAAGCTTATCTCTTCAATCATATTAACCTGAAGAACAACTGTGTGTGATTTATGATGGCAATCAAACTTTTCCAGTTTCCCTCACTGGCGTAATTCAACCTAAATTAGTTTCAAGTATGGACTGTTGGTCTAAACTCTTTATATTCCCTTTATACTGTCAACATTTAGACCAATTTGAAAGTTTTTGGAGTGTGCACTGTAAAACTCTAATAGCAAGAAGACAAGACAACAATATTTTAATGCTGTCTTAACTTATTTGAATAAGTTTATCAGGTTTTAACAACATAATTTAAGTTATACTAAGTTTAACTCTATATTTCGATCTAATTGGTGTAAGTAGAGATGACTAGAAAAGTTCATTTGATTCAACTAAAAATGTTACAGTGTGTAATAATAATGCTCACCTGTCAGCTGATGTTCATTTCAAGCTTTAACCAGGTTATCTTCAGACTCAACTGTCTTCTTTTGGTTGAGCGGCTGCTGTGTTTGCGGCTCGGGCAGGACTTCATTGCTGCCTAAGGCTTATTGATCATTTGAGGAAAAAGCTGAGTTTGACTGCGGTGTTAAAACAGCACAGCACTTGCTCTGTTAAAAGAGAAATATAAATCATAGACACTAAAAGAAACATCCACAGCTTTAGGTAGTGCTAGCATAGAATCAGACAGCCATTATTGCAAAATAAGGTGCTAAATGTACAGTATGTTTGATTAAATTCAAGTCTTTCACAAAACAGATGTGCAATAATATTTAATAATGTTTTCAATTTTATTATTATCCCACCGATTTTTGGGGGGCTAATATACTGATATAAGGGAGTAAAAAAGTACAGATATCGGTATATTGGCCGATATTCTTTATATGCATATTAAAGTATGAGTCAAAGGAACACTTACTCGTTATCGGCCGATAAATGCTATTTTCAATGTTATCGTTATCAGTCTGATGTCGAAGTTAGGCCGATATTTTTAAGTCGATAGATTATGTAATTGTACCGAATTGCCTGCCTCATGGATGCATTGGTCGAACTTGTTCAGACTTGTCCAGTGCACTATAATGGAGCTCACCTCACATTGATTATTTCTTTAAAGTCCACCCTTTCTTTGTGTGGTATTGCTGTGCGTTAATAACTTAGTAAGTAACCATAATCCCTATTATAGATATGTTTGATAGGGTTTCTTGTGGGCTTCTTTCACTGTATTGACATTACACTTTTCCCCATTCAAATAGATACAAGTGACATGTCATGTGTTTTCTTTAGACTTTGGCTTTGCATGACTAAAATAGGTTTAAATCAAAACATTAGCTGAATAAAAAAAAATACTTCAGCCATGATGTCATCCATCCTCCAGCATGCAAAACTAACTTTAGTATTGATTCATGATTTTACGAAGTTTTGATTCAGCATTTTTTTTTTCTTGCGCTCTCTCATGTGCAGGTGAATGCAGCGCGTGCAAATGGCAGATCTGCGTGAACGGCTGCCCAAACAGTTTGAGCCACTTATCAGAATTTTGGGAATTATTGGCCTGACAAATTCGGCCAAGCCGCCACTCATTTGAGTTGAGAAATTATTAGTTTATGATCACTTTTTATTCATATCACACATTAAAGTTAATTTTATATACAGTCATTGTGTACACAACAATTTCTGGGCTTGCTGCATAATAAATACCAAAATTTTAACAATTTATAAAAAAAATGAAAAACTTTCTGGCTGTCGGATATTAGGCATGGACATATATATAGCGATCGTGATTTTCGAACGTATTAAATCGCTTTGTAAACGTTTATTATTAACATTTCATGAGTCTCCCCGAATAGAGCGCTTGGACCCGGAAGTCGCTTCACGTGATGTCAAACTTAACAAGTGGGTACTGCATCTTTAAAAAAATATATATGATTCTTGGTACCAGCAATGCCAAGTTTAACTGGTCTGGAAAACCAGTTTGAACCTGTAATCCTATGTTTATTAAGCCACCATTGTGGTAAAGGGTCTTTGTTTCAATAGTTACTTATTTACATCTGTTCTCTGTTCTGTTGATTACTCTCAGTGAGTGTATATTAGTTTAATGATTTATGTCAATGTCTTAATTCAGTGTAATTAAGCCTTAGTTAATTCCTGTGACCTCCTGGGTGATTCTAGTAGGACTTAAAATAAAGAGTGTGTGATTGGAATCTTCTGGGTGTACAGCCAAAAAAGCAGAGAACAGTAGGCATTCTCATACTAAAAATACCCAGATTACCTGCCACTTCTTATAAGATTCACATTTGATGGACACGTGTACTTCTCTATGGGGCCACAGAAGAGTCACGCGACTAACATTCATAGTACACACATTCATACTATATTGAACATGCTTTTTCAATGACCAAGTTTTTTTGGGACAAATCTAATACCTACTATGCATGTAGTAGGCACTTTTGGATGCAGTGCGAGTTTAAAGCAGCTATGATCAGTCTGCTTTAAAACACCCGTGTAATTTGAGTAAACTCTGTGACCTTATTCAGCCAGGTGTGTTTGACTAGAGCTGGATCTGTACTAGAAACTAGATCGCCATAAAACAAACTGGATGAACCCGTTCACGTGAGAATAGAAAGAAGATACCTCCAAATCGGATTGTCAACACCTTTTAACATAAACATATTAATCTTGCAAGCAACATATATTGAATAATCAATCAGCTCTGGACTTGAACAATAAATAAAACTCTTAGGAGACTTTTTTTTAGAATGCACAATGCCTTGAAAATAATATATAGATGCACATTGCTGTTCATAAATATGGGACTTGTAAGTTTTATATATTTACACATAAGTTAATACTTTTATTTAGCAATGATTAAACGTAGCAAAACCCACCAAAAATGTGTTTAATCTTGGCTTAAAAAAGGCATTGTTTTGTTTGTCAGTGAACAGACGTCTAACAATAGTCCAAAAATAGACTAGATGAGATAGATTATTTGATGACGAGTCTATTTTTTAGACTATTTTAGCCATCTAGATTCATTGACAGCCCAAATTTAGCCTTGTTGTAGTCAAGATGTCTAGTTAAAAAACAGAAATGCTTGCTGTGTAAAAATATGGGGCTAGTAAATTGATATATTTTCAGATAAATGAATACTTTTGTTTAGCAATGATCAAAAGTAGCAATACATATCAATACATGTTGTGTTTAATTAGACATTTAAAGAACATCTTGGCTTTAAAAAAAGGCAAAATTTTGTCTGTCAGTGAACAGACGTCTTCTAACAATAGTCCAAAAATAGACTAGATGAGATAGACTATTTGATGACTAGTCTATTTTTCAGACTATCTTAGCCGTATAGATTCACTGACAGCACAAATTTAGCCTTGTTTTACTCAAGGCGTCTCTAAACAAAATAGAAATGCTTGCTGTGTAAAAAATATGGAGCTGGTAGGTTTGACATATTTTCACAAAAATTAATACATTTACTCAGCAATGATCAGAAATAGCAATACATATCAATAAATGTTATGTTTAATAGACATTTAAAGACACATTTTGGCTTTAAAAAAGGCAACATTTTGTCTGTCAGTGAACAAACGTCTAAAATAGTCCAAAAATAGACAAGACGAGATAGACTATTTGATGACTAGTCTATTTTTTGTACTATTTTTAGCCGTCTAGATTCACTGAAAGCCCAAATTTAGATTTGTTTTAGTCAAGACGTCTATTAAAAATGCTTGCTGTGTAAACATATGGGGCTAGTAAGTTTGATATATTTTCACATAAATTAATACTTTTACTCAGCAATGATCAAAAGTAGCAATACCCATCAATAAATGTTGTTTAAGAAACATTTAAAGACAGATCTTGACTTTAAAAAAGGCTACATTTTGTCTGTCAGTGAACAAAAATAGTCCAAAAATAGACTAGATTAGATAGATAATTTGATGACTAGTCTATTTTAGGACTATTTTAGCCGTCTAAATTCACTGACAGTCCAAGTTTAGCCTTGTTTAAGCCAAGATATCTATTAGAAAGAAAGAAATGATTGCTGTGTAATGCGCTATATGCACACAGACTTTTAATTTTCAGCCAGACAGCCCAAGGGCTTCCGTGAACTGTCTTTCCATGACAAAATTGTCACGTTTTAGATCTGATTTCTTTAAAAATTAGTGATCTTCACTTGCCTGTTAGTTAAACGACATGAAGTGGATCTCAGATCGGACAAGAAGTACTGCATAAAATTCCATTTCCCTCATCCATGTCTTTATAACATGACAGTTTATTTGACCCCAGTATTTTCAGTGTAATTTCTGCCCTAGCCTGTTGATACTGACGGAGCTAGTGGTTACAACGGTCGTTCATCTCGTTTTAGGCTTGACCAACTAAATGAACGCTTAAGTCTATTTAACTGAATGTATTGCAATTACAACCTTGTGAAATTAAAAAGTCACATTAAGCTTTCGCCAGAAGTTTATCTTTGGCTTTAAAACTCTAGCTGCATAGAGCTCATTACCTCAACAATAATCTGATGTCAAATAACAATATTTGTAAATATCCTAAACAAAATCATGTTTAGCAAATAATCAGCAAATAAAAGAGTTTAGATGCAAATAAAACCTCTAAGTGCAGTCTAAAATTTTCATCTGTAATTAGCATTTTTCTCAGCCATTGTGTGTTGTTCAGTAATTTTACTCTTATATAACATTATAAATTATTTTCATTGCCTTTAAAGTGAAATACCTGAACATAACCAGGATGTTGAGAAAAATGCTCATTTTATAGGAAAATGTCAGACAGGGTTTTCTTCATATGCTCTTTCTATCACACAAGAGCCATTTCAGTTTGGAGCACAATAACAGAATAACATCTACTTGTGTTCTCAATGAATGCAATAAACATTAGACTATTATTACAATTTGCATAATGTGCAAAAGCCCTTTTGTGCTATGAATGAAATACTGTATTGTCTGTTTTTCCAAACATTGTCTTTAAAATGGGGGTTTCATGGCATAATAAGACAAAGAAGCCCTTGGAGCCACTCCATTCTGTTCTTATGGAATTTCAGTTTAGTAAAAAGAAGGTCAACTGGAGTCAGATTAAGTTGGCTTTGTCAAACTGAAAACAATGGAGCAGCACAGCTGAAATAAAAAGGTTCCATTGCTTCTTTATATTCATAATTCTTTCAAAGATTCTCTTTTAATGTAACAGATCAAACTGACCCGCATAATAGTGCTACAGAGATTCCTCTTGTATGTATGTACTCTGGTATTGGAGAAAAGTCCAGTGTCATCTCTAAACACTGTTTCTCTTACAACACTGAGGTCAGCAGTTTAGCTTCAGAGCAGCAGAGAAGAGCTGCATCACCAGTCCTAAAAACACAGCGAGTAGATTTAAACTTACTTACCCAACCGAGCGTATTCTGTATTAAAGAATGACTCTATATTGACACAGTCATTTATCACGTGCTCCATTGTCTCTTTAGAAAGTACAGTAGCATCTGCCAAATAAATTAACCCCTCGTTCGCCTTCCCGCATGGCACTTTACTAATCCTACTATGGGGAAGGTTTATGAATATGTATTAAGGAAGGCTGACGACGCTTCCTATTAGCCCAGCCAGTTCCTCTACTTAATATTCATGAGGCAAGTTTGCCGTCTCTCCATCGCGAAATCATTTCCTCCTACGGGAAAAAAGCGTCTCCTTACGTCATTAATATTCATAAGTCAAATTCAGCAAATCGTTTCGTTCTGCTAGCCTGAACGTCTAGTCACGTAATTAATATTCATGAGCAAATCCTTCACCGTAGTAGGATTCTATAACTGTCAGACTGGCCGGGTGGAGAATGCGGTGGACAAGTGCGCGGTTTCTATCATCATTTATACCTCTGAAATCGCTCCAAATTGTAACTTATCTTAACGTAGTGTTTAGAATCGTTTGACGAATGAAATGAGAAGGAAAGTGTAAAAATAACTTAAACGTTATCATCATTTTACGGAGAAGAGAGAGTTTCTTCCGGACTGTTTCGGTTATCAACGCGGGATTTTCTTGTGGATACCCAGCCCTGTTCAACCTTGTACCGCCAATGATAAGTTCAGCATCGCGTAGCGTCCACTTGACTTTTCCACGACCACCATGGTGCTTTGGGAGCTTGTAAAGTGGACGAATATTATCTCGTTTCTTCGCAGCCTTCGAGTCCTCCAGCATCAGCGTCTGTCTGTTGAAGCCGGTTTAACCTTACTCACGTGGAGCTAATTAAAATAGTTAATTTATGTAATATTCGTCCTGGATTTAGAAACAAAAAGCCTGGTAAATACTGATATTTTGTAACTCATCGTGATATTTCACATCATTTCATTTGACTGAGATCCTACATTTGAATATACTTCAGTGTTTTCCCTGCTAAACAAACCTCCATGGATTTCCATGCTCGTCCAGACTGGTTTGATGTTGGTTTAAGATGATGTTGGTCATTGATGAAGCTGTCTTGTTTCTGGTTAAGCTATATTACCTGGTCACTCAAAGATAGTCACATAGTAATAATTATTTTAGATATTTCCCCAAAGTTCGGAAATTATAGGTTACATGTCATTCAATCAACTCTTTACATTTTGACAGTAATCCAAGATGACATCGGAGGTCAGTCAAGTGTCATTGAGTGAGCTGCCGATGGACAACTGGATGGCCCATCTGCCCAGTGCACTGTGGGATACCCCTATCTGTTACATGGCTATTCCAGGTAATTAAGCACACATATTCATTAATACATTCATGCATGAAGACTGCTGTTTCGTATTATGCACCTCTGAGTATTGAAAATTTAGATTTTTAAAAAATGTTCTGTGTTGTGACATTTTTTATGGTTAAATGTAAATCCACAGCTTTGTATTGTAAGGTTGTGTACACACTTGTAGTTTGGTGATTTTGGTTTAGACCAAAATAGCAAGTTTTTTTCTTAGGCTTGGTTTCAAAGACTAAACCAGGATTAGGGCACATTTCAGTAGACATCTCATTCATTCATTCATTCATTCATTCATTCATTCATTCATTCATTCATTTTCTTTTCGGCTTAGACCCTTAATTAATCCGGGGTTGCCACAGCGAAATGAACCGCCACCTTATCCAGCATATGTTTTGTGCAGCGGATACCCTGCCAGCTGCAACCCAACACTGGGAAACACCCATACACTCTCATTCACACTCATACACTACGGCCTATTTAGCTTATTCAATTCACCTATAGTGCATGTCTTAGGACTTGTGAGGGAAACCGGAGCACCGAGAGGAAACCCATGCAAACACGGGGAGAACATGCAAACTCCACACAGAAATGCCAACTGACCTAGTCAGGGCTTGAATCAGTGACCTTCTTGCTGTGAGGCGATCGTGCTACCCACTGCGCCACCGTGATGCCCTAAGGACATTTCAGTAAATTTATTTAAAAATAAAAATAAAATATTCCTATTGTTCATCTTGAGACTTAACAAAGGCACGGATATATTGTACAACGAGTCAGTAGAAGTTCAAAAAGCTCAGACTTACATTTTAGATTAGGTTTAAGCCTTGTCTATGAAATCAAAGTAATATGTTTAATCCTGGTTTGCTTAGCATTCTCACTGTCATTTATAAAGTCAGTGTGAACCAGAGGTTCTTACTCTCTTTACCTCAGTAGTGTGACATATTTCTGAATAAAACAGAATGTTCACTTAAGGGAGGAGATATATTACCTTGTTCCACTTTGTCATCTCTCACTTGAAGAAAACTAATAGTTAGGGAGGAGTGGTTAAGAGTTTTCTGTCAAAGCCTTCAGAGTGATGTCATCAGTGAAGGAATGACATTCCAGAGCATTCAGATTTTACTAACTCGCACAGATTAGCGAGCTAACAATTTAAATTTCACAGGGATTTTAAGATCCACTTAAAAATTACAAGACAAATTTTAGTTTAATTTATGACATATTTTGCAACAGAACTTACCGAACATCCAAAACAATGCTGTATGGTGGACTATATGCTCAATGCTGACTTGAAGAGCTTTTAAAAATTGTTAAAGAGCCCCTATTATGGGTTTTTGAAAATGACCGTGTGTAACACAGCTCTAAGTAAAGTGAAATATCCAGCTAAGGCTCAAATCTGAAAGTGCACAGTGTTAAAAACAATTGATTAATCTATAAAAGAGTTGACTCAAAGTGCTTCAAATGATTCGTCTTGATAATGAGTCTTTAGCCGTTTTGGTGTGACGTCGATTCGAAACTTAAGCTTTGCCCAATTGTTGTGCGCGCAAACACGGGAAAATTTAAACCCCCTGGCCCCGTCCACAAACACAGTAGCAGGAAAAAGAGGAAGACAAACACTGTAGTAGATCCCGGTTAAATCAAGTTGTGTAGACGCGGTGCTCAGCTAGATATTATTGGAAGTGTGAGGTGAAGGTTAGAGTTATTTTCTCTACCAAAACATGAAACTGTGAAGAGTCAGTGGTTGAGGTCATTTTTCTAATGCTTACAATGGGGGATTCATTGGCCGTTTGTTAAAGGAAGGATCAGTAAGACTATTGATGTATGGGACTTTATCTGAGCTTGACAGGAACTTTACAGTGCACAGTTCATGGATCAGTTTCTTCCTCCATTTCACAGGTGTAAGTAAGTGTGATTATGAAATATGTGAAATGGTTGCCTCCTTGTTTTTCTCTAACTGGCAAACTATGTATTTAATTGTGTTTTGTTACTTGTAACTGCTTGTACTGTATCTGGTTAACTCTTTATATTCTCATATCATGTCTAAAACCACTTTGATAACGTGATGGGTACTGCTTTGTTTACGGATTTAAATGCGTTTGTGAGCTCGTGATCCACTGCCGTTTGTCATTGCTATGGCCACCGTCAGCTGTTCCTATACACGTGCAGTGGTCAAGTTTCAGAATAGTTCAGCATTTGCCACTGTGTGCATTAATACTGAATTTGTGTCACTGTTTTTACTTAAATAGCAATATGCTGGAGTTTAATTGCATTGCTTTAATGCACTCCTGCATTGGGCTTAGGAGGGGTTTGGAAACAAATGAATCGCTGAACGAATCATATGGGAGTCATTGGGATAATTAGGTAAAAGTAAATGTGTATTATAAGACAATGAAAGTGTTTTTTGACCTTGCATGCATATCAGCTTGTTGTTGGAGACCCCCGAAACCAAAATATGACCCGTTTTAATGTATTTTAGGGGCTCTTCAAGGAGTCATATGAGTACTCATATGCTTGAGGTGTATATCTTTATTTTGGTCACATTTTGCAATGTCATGTCCTGTTTGTTTGGACGCAAACTAAAACCTTTCAGCAGCCTCGGTCTGCTCTTTTGGTGCGCAGGTTTCACAATTATTTAGATAAACCACAATCACACTACTGTGTGTTTTAACTCAAACAAGTCTGACGAGTGTAAAATAAATAGTCTACCTATATGAGCATGCAATCACTTCAAGAAAGTGACCTCAGTTCCAATTTTACATTGACCACATGTCTTATTTATTTATTTTACAGTCTTCTTATATTCAGTAGTTTGTTTATTTGCTAAGTTTTGTGTAGTTTCTTGGTGTTTATGGTCATGGTCTATGTGGGTTTGCAGGAAGCCATAATGCCATAACTTACTGTCTGGATAAGAATGACCGTTCCCCAGTGGACCTTACCCAACCAGATATGTTGCAAAAGCTGGACAAGTACATGAAACCCATCATAAGACCATTTGTTTACAAGTGGGCAATAGCACAGGTATGTAATTGCCCTGACTGACATTAATATTTTATTACGTATTATTTTATATTTAAATTTTTAATTTACTTGATTAATATTTATCATTTTTTTGTCATATTTATCCGTTTTTTTATTCTAACTTCAATGGAATGAATATAATCATCAACATTGATGTTTATTAGGTGTTTTTGTACTTATTACAAAACGTGTTACGCATTAATTATGTATGCATTACTGGAACATCTTTGACAGCATCTTTACAGTTCACATTTCTTTTTAACAAATAGTAAATTGCCTGTATTCATTGAAAGCCCTGGTGATCTTCATATTCATATTTGACATGTTAAATCACTAATACTATACCACAAGAAAGCATAATCAAATCTCTTACCTCCAAATATGTTGACTTTGTCACATTTGAAAAGGCTAAACATAATGCAGTTGTGCTTTGTATGGTATCAAATCCCTGATGAGGTTATAGACCAATTTATGCCAGCATGCATCAGCAGATTCCTGTATTGCACGCGTCTTTAAAATCTATCAGCAAGAGAAGAAATAAATTGCCGTCTGATGTCCTGGAGAAATCCATCAAACACTCAGTGGCTTTGCTATAGCGAAAGCTCAATTAAATTGGATAGTTATGACAAAAGTAACATTGATGGATGGGCAGATTGTCTCAAATCTGTAGGCGCGATACGGAAATTGTATTTCACTTTTAATGCTTCAAACTCTCACTGTTTGTTTCTAGGAAGCCATTCAAGCACTATCGTTGCTGCACCTGCATTGTTAATGATTATGCTTTACATTATTTACTATAGGAGTCTTGCATTAGGGAGCAGTTAGATTGTGGAGTGCGATACTGTGACCTGAGGATTGCACATCGGCCTAATGACAGATCAAATGATCTCTACTTCTACCATGGGGTTTATACCACTATAACTGTGGAGGTAAGACAACCAACTGCACAAAATCATACAAGCTTTTCATTTTGTTGTCCAATGTGCTGTAGTTTAAATTTGTTTAATTTGAGTTTAATGTTTAAAGCATGTAAACAAACAGTTTTTTTTTTGAATGTAACCAGTGTATTGTGTCATTTCAGACTGTATTAAAAGAGATCAGAGAGTGGTTGGATGTTCACCCAAAAGAAGTGGTCATCCTCTCATTTAGCCACTTCCTGGGCCTCAGTCAAGAGCTTCACTCATTGCTTGTCTCAACTATAAAGAGTGTTTTTGATTCTAAATTGTGCCCTAAAATGGTAGGCATCTTTTTTTCTTCTTCTTCATTTTGGCCTTAGTAACAGTATATTTTCAATACAATTCTGTGATGATTTAAATACATTTTTAAAAAGCATGATTTCTGATGAGGTGACATAGTGGCGCAGTAGGTAGCGCTGTCGCCTCACAGCAAGAAGGTCGCTGGTTCGAGCCTTGGCTGGGTCAGTTGGCGTTTCTGTGTGGGGTTTGCATGTTCTCCTTGCGTTTGCTTGGGTTTCCTCCAAGTGCTCCGGTTTTCCCCACAATCCTAAAACATGCAGTATAGGTGAATTGGGTAGGCTAAATTGACCGCAGTGTAGGAGTGTGAATGAGTGTGTGTGGATGTTTCCCAGAGATGGGTTATGGCTGAAAGGGCCTCCGCTGCGTAAAAAACCTGCTGGATAAGTTGGCGGTTCATTCCGCTGTGGTGACCCCGGATTAATAAAGGGACTAAGCCGAAAAGAAAATGAATGAATGATTTCTGATGAATTTCTGATTTTTCTGTCAGGAGCGTGTAACACTACGGAAATTATGGAGTGAGGGTCATCAAGTTATCGTTTCCTATGAGCACAATACTGCCAACTGCAACAGAGAATTGTGGTCCCATATACCTTATTGGTGGGCCAACAAGTCCAAAGCTGAAGCACTGATCGAGGAATTTGAGCGTAGGAAACAAAATGGCCGACCAGGTAATACTTAAAGATATGGTATAAAAACTTACTGTAATAGTCTCCTTATTTTTATTTTATTTAAGAAATTGTTTTTTTATTCATTCATTTGATAAAAGCGCTACAGCCTACAGTATATTGTGGTGATGAAGAGCATGTTGACGTCATTTCGACTGTTTATCTAATTATTTATCTTTGGACAATTGATATTTTATTATCAAAAGTGGCTTTTGTTGTTGAAATTCGCATAAACTAAAATTATTAAATGCTTTAATAATTTATATGGTAACCAATGAAGTAATGGAACCTTATTCAGGGTTCCCACGCTTCTTGAAAATACTTAAATTTCAGACATGTATTCAAGGTCTGAAAAGTATTCGAAAGTACGAACACAGGTCCTTGAAAGTACTTAAATTAAAATTGAAATGTCTGTGCAATGGCGAAGTGGTTAGTGCATTGATACATGGTACTCTGGTGCTCATGGGGACCTGAGTTCGTTTCCCACCTAGGGTCCTATGCCTATCCTTCTCCTGCCTCTGCTCCCTATGCTTTCCTGTCTATACTTTCTACTGTCCTATCAATTAAAGGTGAAACCCCTGAAAAGATTATTTAAAAAAAAAAAAAAAAAAAAAAATATATATATATATATATATATATATATATATATATATATAAAAAAAAAAAAAATATATATATATATATATATATATATATATATATATATATATATATATATATATATATATATATATATATATATATATATATAATAACTAAAATTTGAAATAAACTTTGTTTATTCTTTTCAACAATTGTACCCAATAGGAGTAAATAAAAAGAAATTCTTAAATTAAAAATCTTATATTTAAATCTTGTACAATAACACATAATGCACATTTTACCAATATTTCACAAACCGCATTTGAACATCACCAGTATTGAATTTAACAAATATGTTTAAAGTTCTTTGTACATGACTTTTTAAAAATAGATTCTGTAAAAATAAAAAATTGTAAAAATGACATTTTAAATTAAATATTAAGTGTAAGGCAAATGTTAATATTAATAATAATTCCTTACATTTATATCTGGATTTATATCACATTTATATCATCTAGATGATGCGGCGGCAGCCATGTTGTGCCATACCGCTCACCACACATGGCTGATTGGTGGAGAGGAGATGAACCGAGGCCAGTGGGCAAATTTGGCCAGGATGACGAATTTGGTCATGGGATTTTTAGAGAGTCAGGACCTTGATTTAATGTCTCATCTGAAAGACGGCACTCAATTAGCAGTATAGAGTCCCCATCAATATATATTGGGGCGTTAGGACCAGTCATTGGTTAGGATCCACACAGACCGCAGGTTGAGCAGCCCCTGCTGGTCTCACTAACACTACTTTTGGCAGCAACCTTGCTTTTCCATGTGGTCTCTCATCCAGGTACTGACTGGCTTAGCTTTTCTGAGCTACTATGTGAGAGTTGCAGAGAGCTAGCTGCCAGCTAAGTACAGTAATTATGTTAAGTACAGTGATGGGCTTTTATGGCACTACATATGCTGAGGTATGAATTACAAAAGTGCTTGATTAAAAAATAAACGGTGCTTTAAAATGTCCTTAAAATCACCTGCTGTTGATGAAAGCATGGCAACCCTGCTTATTGTAATGTGTTACCTATTCTACTTTATTTATGGGCAATTTTTAATACATTGTTTATTTTGTAAACTATAAAAATCACTGCATATTAAAGTGATTTTCCCCCTGTAACAATACCTCCTCATAACCTGTTATTTCATGTTATACTTATGAAATTTTTATTTCTTTTGAATTATTAGTAATTTTATTATATTTTAAGAAATATATTTATTAAAAATATTAATTTTTCTTTATAAAACTATAAACCTTAAAAAATGTTTTTGTAATAGTTTCTCATGAGTTATTTTATTTTATTAGTTATTTTATTTTTTTGTGTTTAGGAAATTTCTTGTTTCTTATTTCTTATCTTTAAAAAAGTGAATTTATTTCCTTGTTAGTTTTTATTTTATTTTATAATATTGTATTTATTTTATAAATTGCTTATTTTACTATTTTGATTTTTAAAAAAAATCTTTGGAAAGATGAAAAGATGTTATGTAATTGTATTTGCTTAAAAATAAAAGGCAGTGAAAAGAAGAAAACATCAGTTCTCACATGTAATATTCTCCACAGGCGGCTTCTTTGTGACTGGCATTAATCTTACTGAAGACCTGAAGTACATATGCTCCCATCCCACAGAATCACTGAAGGATATGGTAATGTCCACATACCCCACGTTACTCAGCTGGGTCAAGCAACAGAAGCCCGGCTCCAACACCGGCTCCCTCAACATCATAGCTGGAGACTTTGTTACAGAAAGCCAATTCATACCAACCGTCATTGCACTCAATGAAAATCTCCTCAACAGGACCATTTTACCACAACCTTGATGCTCTTTTATTAGTTTGCAAAATGTATTTAACATTGAAAAAATAGTGTTTCTTGTTCATGTTTTTTTAACACTAGTCAACTTTGCACTTTTTTATTAGGGTGCTTACACATTAGACTTTATGCTGCGTCACCGCCATTCATTTCAGTGATGGTGCATTGAAACAAGAGTTTGCTCCATCAACCAAAAGCACTTTCCACACCTGTCTGTCAAATCAGAGAGCTCTATCTAATGTGTAAGCATTCTGAGGTTGATATAAATTTGAGTTATGGGTAGAATAACGTAATGCACTGACTTTTATGACTTGAATTTGATCATATTAAGCTTATTTATGCAGTCTTCTATATATACCTCGGATTTTGCAAAACAAAAATGGTAATTATATTTTAGGATGTCATTGGGAAGGTCCGGGTTAATACAACTTTAGCCTCAGACACAAGCACATTACTGGACACAATAAGTAATAATAATTTCACCATTTGCATGAGATTTGCTGAAGACTACTCAATGCAAGCCTGCACAAATAGGATTATCAAACACTCAGGATTGTTCAGTTATGATATATCTTTTCGACTTTGTACTGTGTGGAATGGCAATATGATTCCAGTAAGTACATGTCTGCATGGTGCATACAATCAGACGCATGTAGAGGCACTGGAATATTTTGTGGTTGTGCATATGTTCTCTGACACAGCATGCAGTTTAATCAATATGTATCAGTTGGCATTACAAACAAAAGTGCTTATATTAACTAATATTAATAGTTGGATGGAATTTAATATATTCGCATTTCTTACCTGAGGATTTACAGTGAATTAAACATATCCATAAATGTTATTAGATTTGTCTGCATTTCAGCTAAAATTGCTATCTAGCAAATTTGCCAGAGCCCTAAAGCTGTTCTGAAGTTTGTTTTATTCTATTTAATCTGTAAATGCATTCATTGTACGCAATAAACATGCACTTATGGTTGTGGAAACGTTATTTTAGGTCCAAATAAAGCCACTTTTTAGAGAAAACTAAACTTGCTTCTGTCAGGACACAAACAAGCAAAAAGGAGAAAGCTTACATGGTAAAAGATACTGTGCTGTTTTATTGATTGAAAGCATTTAGTCAAAGTTAACCTTTGACTGATGGTTTTGTGTTATTTTCCACCTCAAAATATGATAAGGTGATGAAAGTTCAGCAGATTTCCACATCACAACCCCCCCAAAAAAACGAAAATTAAATTTATATTGTGTTACTCTATTGTATTGTTTTTAGTTATTAGTTACAATCGTAAAAAGCATGGCAGAAATATACTTTAGTGGCCTGTTGTATCCATAATATGATGGACACATCTAATTGTGCCGAACAAGAATGTCAAAATGGAGAAAACAGTATGAAAAGGCTGTTCTGCAACCAGCTGTGAAGTGTGAGACTGAAGCAGGAAGAAAACAAAGGTAATAGCGAGCTAGCATGACAAGTCAAACGCGTTTTAAAAGTTCACGGATGAACGGTACTGAAATATCAGTTCTGTGTACCACAGAGTTCACTTAACGATTAAGTTTTGTGGTCAGCTTTTAAAGGAGTTGTAATTTGATCCTCGTTATTGACGATGTGTTTATCTGTTGTTTAGCTTAAACGCGACTGTTTAAGCGGAATAGACTCGCTTTGTTTTCACATTCTTCTAGATGCAGTTTTAAAGAGTGTGTGTTTTTTACACTCCGGTAAACTTATGGAACAAATCCGAGAGGATGACAACCAAGAAGACTGGATGTCACGTTTACCAGAAAAACTGTTGGATATCCCTTTAACAAATCTCGCTATACCAGGTGAGACTATGAAAACTATAGGTGAATCAAAAGGTAAGTTTTTTTGTACAAGTTTTAGTTTTTTAATATACTGGGGTTTACTTTTTGTTTTATTGTAACACTTTAAAAGCCATGGTTTCAGTTCAAATAGTGTTAGTTTTGCAACTTGTTAGGTCAATTTTATATTCTTTTTAAATCACGTGCCCTAGTTATATTTCACCAAAAAAGTATGGAAGGCCATTAGTGACAAAATTCTTTAAATGCAAGACAGTGATCGTGTCAGCATGCACAGTTTAACTGTGCCAAAGCATTAACGAACACTCAGTGAAACCGCTTTCTTGAAGTGTTTTGCTTATTCAATATGCTTGCTTGCAATAATTTCAGCTTTTTTTTTTTTCTTTTTTTTTAGAAAATGAGCCAAATGGCTAACTGTTTAAGTTCTCCAGTCTGTCCAAAATCACAAAATTCACTTTAATAGTCATAATTCTATGTCATACTATTTATATTCATACCATTCAGGGCAATTAACGGATTCCATTTTTAAAGTACATAATGTCAGTAGTGCTGCAGTCACACTAGAGTTTGTGTGTGTGAAATTCGAGATGTCATGTTTTGATCTTTAATTGGTCTCACGCAATTATGTGATGCGATTTCGCAGGTCAGAGCTCACCAAGCTTGAACTTTCCAATGAAGCTAACTGCAACTTGTCATTTCCAGTCTGACGCATTCGTGTGCATATAAATGGAAGTCTATGGGGACAAAAGTGCAGTGTGACCCCAGCTTAAGTCTGGTTCAGTAAACCTCCAGCTCTTGCTTTCAGATGAAGCAGCGTTTATTTATTATTAGTCTAGCTACACTGATTAGCTATGCAAAATTGCGTTCAGAATTAAAAATTATTTAATCTGACAATAATAACATTGAGATAATCATTATACTAGAACTATGGCTCTATGTAGTAAATGCTGAATGCAAAGACACCACATATTGACTAACGTTATGAAGTAAGTGTTTCTTCTTCATTGGTATTTGGAGTTTTTGAGTCAAAAGAGCACTTCTTTGGAGGAGATTTACCGCTGATCACACAACAATTCATCAATGACAAGATGTGCATGACAGTCGCAGCTTTGCTCAATTGTATTTGTGATTTCTTTTCCATTAATCACCAAGCTTTAGTGGTGAAGTAAAGTTAAATTCAAATGTAGTACTTACTTGGAGAGTACATGACTTTGGATGCATTGATTGTATCAGCAACTGGAGCTCTGGCATCAGACGTAAAATTGGTCAAACTGTGCATCTTTACATGTAGTAAAAAACATGTTAACTTTTTACGTTCACACTTAAAGTCATGGGTATTGATGTATTTACCACACAAATAAATGTTAATGTGGACATCCGTTGTTTTTGTTGTCTTAAGAACTTGTTTATTCTTGTTTTGTCTCATTAAATGTTTTCCAACTGTGAACCAACATCTAGGTTGACACTTGTGGACAAACTAAGTGGTGCAAAAACAATTCAAAGCACACGTGAATTCAGTCACATTTACATTATAAAAAATGGACTGCACATGTTGTGCTAAGGACAAAATCTGTGTTAGAGACTTTTGTATAATAAAAGTAAACCTTAGTGCAACTTAAAAAAGTAAAAGTACAACAATATATCTTGACCATAAAACACCCAAACTGTTTGTTTAGAATTTTGGCCCGAATTACCTTCCAAAATTTTACATTACTCGAGAGGACAGGTTCTTTTTCACTTGGCACTTTCACCAAAGGACATCAATCAATGTCTGATAGAAATATTAAATCATGTCCTTCATTTTTGTTTACTTCTCACTGTACTAAATTGAATGGAAAATTGTCCTGTATGTATGTGTTCGCATGTTTTAAATGTCCTTATCGATGCAAGATAAATCCACGATCCTTCATTTGCTTTCAGGTAGCCATGATGCAATGAGCTACTGTCTAGATATCAATTCTCCACTGCTCCGGTCTGAATCAGACACCTTCAGGTTACTGGATGGAGTTTTCTACTGTTTCACCCGACCATTCATTTACAGATGGGCCACTACTCAGGCAAGAATATCCTTCAATATAATAATTTTGGTATCTCTTTAAAAAAACAGTACATGAATAATGATGTGTAAACTAAACATTACTTAATTATGAATGAATGAGTACTTAAGGCGCAGGCCAATCATGAACTAACTTTAACTACAACACGAGTCACATGAGTTCTTGTGTGAATAACAACTACCCTATTTACTTGGTAGTACATGTTGTTAATTAATGTATTAATTAACATTTATGTTTAAGCTAAATGTAACCAACATGAACTCATGAGCTGTTAATGTATACTGTCATGACTTTACTTGGAGGGGCACATCACCATTATAGCTCATCCTTGACTACTCATGAACTCCTGTGTTTAAACGGTTCATGTTGATGTTGACTGAACACTTGTCTATTGTTATTCAGTGTAAACGCACTAGAATAATGTGCATAAGAAGTTCATAAGTATTTAAGAATGGGTTAATGATGATGTTCCCCTCCAAGTAAATTCATGATATAATTACATTAGAGGGTGGGCTGTTATTGGCGTTAACGTGCTGCGTTAACGCGAGACTCTTATCAGGCAATAAAAAAATATCGCTGTTAATCTATTCTTAAAGTTGGACTGGGAGCTGGGTCTATTCTACTCAAGCTATGATGACTTTCACCTTGACATTTTAGCGCGGATGTATACCTGGCCAAATTGCACTGTGGCGAGAACGAGTCTTCGAACCTGTGTGTATTCCTACAGTGCAATTACAACATCAAACGTGACGTGCATGCAGTTCACTAGAGTGAATCTGATTAATGTTAGCTCCACATCTAACTATCAGGCACCTGTAGAGTTTATGCGTTCGAGTAAAAGATATACAAATAAAATGGAGCTGGTGCTTTTTAAAATGAATGAAAGTCAAACCGGTGAGCAGTCAGATAAAAAAAGTGCCCTTCTGAATTAAATCAGCAGGATGCTCTTCTGGATCCTTCACTTACTTTGAAGACACTACTGACTACGCTTACATGGACATCTGTAATCTATTTATTTGCCTTAATAGACAATAATATAATTAAGGTGTTTACGTGAAGTGCTTTCAAGAGTTTGCTGTAATTTTGGGTGACTTTAACTGCAGTTCGGCAGTTTCCCATTAACTCATGAACATTTCATTCATGCCCCCGTGACAAACTGGGGTATTAGACGCAAATAAGAAATAAGGACTGGTGAGAGTGTTATGGAATTTAATAAAGCACACCAAATGTAAAGAAAAAAAAAACTTCTGCATATCGTGATGTGTGGTTGTGTGTGTGTGTTTGTGCGGTCCTTTACTAACAGCCGCGCTTGTGGATCTTGACAGAAAATTTGGCGATAGGTCCTACATGACGGTAAAAGTTTGATTGTGGTGTTTACTTCAATAAAGCCACTAATATATGCATATTCCACATGTCTTAATTCCATTTCTGTTTCAGTTATGACTTTAATCTCATTAAGGTAATTAAAAATCGCTTTTTCCAGCTTATGTAAGTCTACAGTTCAAAATTCATGTTTAACTGTATAAACAGTTAGTAAACACAAGTACATCTTATAAAACTATTTATTTTCATCACCAATTATCATAGTAGAACAGTTTCTCAAGCAGTTTGTGCAGCAGGAGATGAGCCCCTGGTCTAATGCGCCACCTGGCTTGAGAAACCCGTTCTCAAAGACTTACTTTTAGTCATTATTTGGGTAGCACACATATTATAAATGCTTTCGGCAGAATTCAAATGAGCTATTTTAATCTAGATTATCTCTAAGATTACAGTAAGATTAATCTAGATCAGTGGTTCTCAAACTGTGGTACGTGTACCACTAGTGGTACGCGGGCTTCCTTCTAGTGGTACGCGGAGGAATGAAATATGTCATATACATGCTACATATATTTTAAAATTTATCAAAAATGATGTATATAATATGCCATATATGACATATAGCCTATATTTCTGAGGTAATCTGCCACGTTTTTTTAACTGTGCAGAGTTGTAGCCGCTTTACTGAGCCTACTACGCTACTGTATTTCAATACTGCTCATTTTGGTGGTACTTGGAAAGACAATTTTTTTCTGAGGTGGTACTTGATGAAAAAAGTTTGAGAACCACTGATCTAGATAAAAAATGAATCTATGCCCACCTACAATTTATATATTAATATTTCATGAGTAAATTAAGCATAAACTAATGTAATCAATACATTAATTAACAAACAAGCATGTACTAACAAGTAATTAAGGTAGCTGTTATTCACACATGAACTCACGTGACTCATGTTGTAGTTAAAGTTAGTTCATAATTAGTGCACACTTTAATTCATCTTTAGTTCATAATAATGTCTATTAACACATTCACGTACTACTATTGTAAAGTGTTAGCTAATTATTTTGAGTGCTTACAATACTTAAAATTTCACTGTAGAAATACCAAAAAGTCTCTCTTTCCAATAGCACCCATAGTGGTAGTTTATATCTTGAGTATATGTATGTATGTATGAAATGTAATGTTCTAACATTGTATAAAATCTCCCTATTATTGTGTTGCAAACAGGTAATAAACATTGTGGAGCAACTTCAAGCAGGCATTCGATACTTTGATCTCCGAGTTGCCCACAAACAGTATGATACTTCCAGTGAGCTTTACTTCACTCATATCATTTACACACACGCGACTGTGATCGTAAGTATAAACCCATTGAGATGGATTATCTGTTTACGTCTGTAACTTTAATATTTATTTGCAGTGTGCATTTTCTACCTTCCAAACATGCTTTCTTTTTTAGGAAACTCTAGAGACTGTTAATTTATGGCTTGAATCTCATCCCAAAGAAATCATCATCCTGGCTTGCAGAAATTTTGAAGGGATGAGTGACGAACTGCACGAAGGATTCATCTATGCACTGAAGAACATTTTTCGCTCCAAGCTGTGCCCTGTGAATGTAAGAAACCATTTGGAATGTTAAACATAATAACATGTTTCTTGTACAGTTAATACATTAATGATCAGTTTATGGAATTGATAAACATTGAATTCTCAACACAGCTGCGTTTATTTGATAAAAAATATTGTAAAATGATTATTCATTCATTTGTTTTTTCTTCAGCTTAGTCCCTTTACTCATCAAGGGTCGCCACTGCTCAATGAAACACCAACTTATCCAGCATATGTTTTACACAGCGGACCAGCACTGGGAAAACAACCATACACACATACACTACGGACAATTTAGTTTATTCAGTTCACCTTTAGCGCATGTCTTTGGACTTGTGGGGGAAACCGGAGCACCCGGAGGAAAACACGGGGAGAACATGCAAACGCCACACAGAAAAATGCCAACTGACCAGCGACCTTCTTGCTTTGAGGTGACAGTGCCAATCACTGAGCCACCGTGTCACCTGAAAGGATTATTATCAATATGAAATGTACTCCTTATTAAATATTGTGGTATTACAACATTTAAAGTATCTTTTCTATTTTAAAATGTTTGTAAAAATAATAAATGTTCATAGATTTTTTCATTAAGATCTATTTGACCATGTTCATGGCGTCACGGTGGCGCAATGGGTAGCACAATCGCCTCACAGCCAGAAGGTCACTGGTTTGAGCCTCGGCTGGGTCATTTGACATTTCTCTGTGGAGTTTGCATGTTCTCCCCGGGTTTGCATAGGTTTCCTCCGGGTGCTCCGGTTTCCCCTACAAGTCCAAAGACATGTGGTATAGGTTAATTACATAAGCTGAATTGGCCGTAGTGTATGTTAGTGTGTGTGCCAACATGTGCTGGATAAGTTGGCGGTTCATTCTGCTGTGGTGACCCCTGATTAATAAAGGGACTAAGCCAAAAAAAAATGATTGAATGAATCAATACCTTATTCATTTTTAGTGCTTCTTAGTTATGCTTAATTCATTGTATAGTATTTGTTTTGGTTTTAGGATGACAATTTTAACATATGTCCTGTTACAACAGATGAAAAATAGCCTTGCATGTGCAGCAGTGGTAATTAATGTACACGGTCCCTGCCAAATAAACAAATAAAGTTTCAAGAGTTCACACTTCGATATTGCTTGATAATAATAGCAGGTTTGGCATGCTGTCCCAAGAGAGAACCCTGAGGTCGGGGAAATTTGAGCTCACCTGGTCAATGAGCATGTAAGAGGGTCAGGTAGTTCTTGAGATTCTTCAAAAAACGAAGATAAGGGAGTAATGCTAGACGGGCTATTTATAGTGCGTTTGGAATTATCCGATTGGCTTACTAATGATTATAGATAAGAAAGCAGCTGCGATCAATCATATCACATGCTCCTCTTGAAATTAGTTTGTGAAACTTCACAAAAATAAATAGTATTTAGGATTAGGTAATTATTCCGAAATGTAAGATGATTTGGTGAAACATATTTTTTATTATGTGTTGTTTTTAAAAACCATAAAACACTACCGCAATGAGGTTTTACGTAAGGACACAACAAAATGTGACACTGAAGATAGTTATAACTGTTTTAAACTTCAGACAAATAGCATTCTTTTGAACATTCCATTCATCAAATTCTGAAGAAAGCATAATGATTTTTCGAAAAAGCATCAAACACTTGGGTAATTCATCTTTAAATCACAGGAATAATATTTATATTTATTATTATTGAAATGTAATTAATAATTCATTCATTCATTCGTTTTCTTTTTCGGCTTAGTCCCGCTATTAATCAACCGCCAACTTTTCCAGCATATGTTTTACGCAGCAGATGCCCTTTCAGCTGCAACCCATCTCTGGGAAACATCCATACACACATACACTACAGACACTTTAGCTTACCCAATTCACCTATAGCGCATGTCTTTGGACTTGGGGGGGAAACCGGAGCACCTGGAGGAAACCGACGCGAACACCATGAGAACATGCAAACTCCACAGAGAAATGTCAACTGACCCAGCCGAGGCTCGAACCAGCGATCTTCTTGCTGTGAGGCGATTGTGTTACCCTTTGCGCCACAGCATCGCCATTAATAATCTAAATGATAATTAATAATTATTATTCACATTTATTCAAATAAAAATCTTAATTTGTTAAGTGCAGTAATATTTTGCTATATTACTTTTAATTTAGATTAAATAAACTTCTATGTTTCTGTTTGTACAGATAGCTTTTTACATTAAAATATATACTGAAAGACTTGAAAATATTTTATATTTGTTTTATTGCACTTATTTTTCTCGAAAATGTATATTTTTGTTATTGTTATTACTGTATTTTAAGCTCACAAGTGGCTGTCTAAGAATTTTAATGCATATCATATTGTGTATGAGAAAAACACAGTTTGAATGTATTTAATTTATTTATCACATGTCTGATGAGCACAAAATATTAAGAAAAAAACTCAAATCAAGTTTTCACTCATTTAGACTCTTTTATAAATATGTTTTTGGTTTGTTTCTTCTCATACATGTTTTTAAAGGAGACTCTGGTGACTTTACGGAGGCTGTGGGCATTAGGCTGTCAAGTGGTGCTGTCGTATGAAGACCCGCAGTCAACAATTCGCCATAAGGAGCTGTGGCCTGCCATCCAATACCTTTGGGCCAATAAGCCAAATGCAGAAGAGCTGATCCAGTATATGGAATGTAAGAAGCAGCTTGGTCGACCTGGTGAGAGAAGCTTTTAGTTGACCGTTATTGAAAAAACCTATCAGATCTCTAATCAGCATATTTCTATTGCGCAGAGGGTTTTTTCGTTGCAGGCTTGAATTTGACGACCGATCGATGCTTCATTGCCTCAAATCCTCAAGAGTCTCTCAAAACATTGACCAAGAAGTACTGGAACCGTGTGCAGGAATGGCTTAAAGAACAAAAACCAGGAGCTGAACCCCCGTGTCTAAACATAATAGCAGGTGACTTCATTGGACTCCTTCCAATTTGCTCGCTTGTTATTTCTCTCAACAAAAAACTACTTTAATACTTCCACTTTTAAATTGAAGTGTTCAAATATAAGAGTTTCTCTTAGAACTTCTTCATTAGATTGCACATTTAACTGCAAGTTAAATTGCCCAAAGTGCTACACATAATACATAGAAATGTAAAATACACAAATGGCATGGACTACAAAGTACAAACATTAGATATAAAAAAAACACAACAAGCATTTCTTAGAGTACCTCAAATGCTAAACTGAACAAATGTCTTTAACTGTGACCTAAAAGTTTGAAGATCATTACAAAATTTTGGCCCTACACTCTCAAAAATAAAGGTACGCGAGGTGTCACTCAGTCACTGGGGTGGTACCTTTTCAAAAGATCCACATTTGTACTTGAAGGGTTCATATTGGTACCTCAAAAGTATATATTAGTACCCACAAATTTTAAGAGGAACACCTTTGTACTTTTTAGGCACTAATATGTACCTATGAGATATTAATATGGACCTTTTTGGTACAAATTTGCCTCTTTTAAAAAGGTACAGCCCATTGACAGCTCATGTACCTTTATTTCTGAGAGTATAGAAGAGCACCTGTCGCCTTTTGATTCCTATTTAGACCTCGACTGACTACCTGATCTGAGTGACCTGGTCGACCTTCACATTTAATTGCATAAATCTGTAAATCAACCTCAGTCCTGATCAAAACTACTAAATTGTTTTAAAAAATTACAGGATTTTAACTCTTTAATTGCCAAGTTCACAAATGATGTCACTGATTTGGTGAAAACAAAAATGCATAAAATGACCTTTTCAATACAAAAAGTAGTTTTCACAGTATCTTTTATCACAGTCTTGGACATGTAAACGATTAGTTATAACATTGGCTTTAATGCATTGTTAGATTTTCATTTCCCCCCTAATTTACAGTTGGTGGCTTGTTTTGCCATAAATAGTTTTTTTTTTTTAGTTTTTTTTACTCCATGTAGTTCTGAGATGCATATTTAGATTTTCTCAGACACATCAAGGTAAGTGCTTAAAGGTCACTCTCACACACATATACACACTTTAATTATCTGTTTTACTCCATATAAAATCCAGAAACTAAGCTTTTTATGCACCGGCTAAAGGGTCTAATCTAAAGGGTAATCGTGCCAACTAATGATCAACAGTAAAAATGACTAATTTTACACATTCTCAACAGGGAAAACCAGCAACAATCAAAAACGCATGATTATATGGTGTCATGGTTTTGCAATCAAAAAAATGTGTTTATAATGAAAGTCAACAGGGCAGAAACGGCCACCAACAGTAAATTAGTGAGAAAAAATGGAAATCAATCAAAAAACAATGCATCAAAGGCAATGTTGTTTCACATGTACAAGACTCTGATAAAAGGTTTTAAAAAATCCAGTCCACAACTACTTTATATATTAAAAATATGTAATTTTGTGTGTTTTTTTCTCACCAAATCAGTAACATACTTTATAAATTTGGCAATTTAAGAGTTAAAATCCTTTTTTGATCAAGACTGAGGCTGCTGAACAGATTTATGCAATTTAAAAAAAAAATGATCTGAAGTATTTTTACAGCAGTTTAATTTAGAGTATTTTTTCATCCCTAACATAACAAAAGGGTCGTAAATTTGCCCAGAGTGTATCGTTGAGTTCTTTCAAAAATTCAAAGCCTTTTCTTAAAATCTGTGTCAAAATAAGATTTGTCAGCAAAAATCATTCTGCTAGCTGAAACACAGAAAAAGTTATGGCCAATTTAATACTGAAAATCAGCCCAGAGTGGATAAAAACATCCCCAACAGTACATAAGGAACAAAAACCAGGGATAACATCTTAAAATCAATCCTGCACTTGACTGGCAACCAATGAAGAGAATATAGCACTGGAGTGATAAGTTCTCCTTTTTTGTACCAGTCAGTAACCTTGCTTTAGCGTTCTACACAAGTTGTAGATGAAAAAGGTGTCAGACAGATCCCATTTTCAGGCATAATGTTAAACAAACATAAGGTTTACAGCCTAGAAGCGTATGCAGGTCAATGCAACTGTGCAATATTTAATCCTCATTGTTTTCACCTTTGCTTTTTACTGCTGCTCAATGGACATTTTTGATAAACAGCATTCATGTACTGTTCATATCACAACACATCATCTTTGTTTCTCAATGTGCAATTTTATTGTATCAAAATATAGGCTTTTACATTTTTAAATACTACTTATAAAGCAAATAAATATTTACACATCATTATGTGACTGAGTGCATGCATTATTTTGGACGATCTGGCTGTGCAATGGGAGCAGTCTGTTATGAGGTGACCTGAAAGAGCTTCCTGTAGCGGCCATATGCAGCCTGGCTGATGATGACCTTGACATTGGCGGTGCAGTCGTCTCCTACGTTATCTACCGCTTGAACCGTCGCCTCCTTATACAGCCAACTGTGAAAGGCAGAGGGCAGACATGTTAGTTCACCCAAAAATGAAAACTCTCTTTTTAATTGTTCACCTTCATGTCGTTCCAACCCCCTGAGACCTCTGTGCTTTTTCAGAACACAAATTAAGGTATTTCACGTGAAATCCTAGAGCTCCCTCGTCCACCATAGACAGAAAGTTTACAGACCAATTCCATGTTTTGAAGATGTTTTTGCTATTTTCTAGATTTTGAACAAGTCTGGAACCTTGCTCACTGTTTATAGTTTAAATCAGGGGTTCAACTGGTTTGGCCATGGGACCCACATTTTTACATGGTCATCAAGCCGCGACCCAAATTTTTAGGAACTATAATACAATTTTAGGAATTATACTTCATTTGTATTTATTTGTTAACATAAGAAAGTAGTGACAGATACATCATAAGAAAATCAAGGCTTGCAATTAAACACTATTTAATTGGTGTCATTTAAAAAAATGTATCAATTATAGAAATATTGCAAAGTAAAAACAACAAAAACTGTTAATAAAACATTCACTGCTGAGCTTTCTGGTTTATAAATGTTGTTTTAATTTAGAAGGTTTCATGCTCTCTTATGAGAGCACCTCACCACATATGACACTGAGGCTTTAAGTCTTTTTTTGTCATCAATATATACATCCATTATTTACATATTCGTGGTCGTACTTGCACTTTGACATATTTGTTGCAATAATTAAATGAAATTTCACAGGTCAAACGGTAGGGTTGTCGCGCACACATTTCAAAATAAAAGTCCGGCATAAGCAAAATAAGTAAAAAATTTAACTTTTGTTTTTTTTTGATCACACACTCCGCGACCCACTGAAAATGTTCCCGTGGGTCGCGACCCACCAGTTGAGAAACACCGGTTTAAATCATGTGACCTGTGCAGAGACTTGGAAGGCAAAAAACTATGTGGCTAAATGACAGCTACACTAGCATCTCTGTAGAAACGTAGCACAAACCAGTCATATTTAGATAACATATCAACAGAACAAAACAGAGATATGATCTCAAACTGTAAACTGTGGGCCCTTACAATCTATAATACTGCACCTGCAGACATTTTTTAGTCATTTAATATCTTGTCCATGTCAGAGCTACAATTTAGCAACATTTACATCTATCTTGTGGATATTCCTCAGCGATGTAGTCATTGGTGATTTAGTCAGTGTTTTTTTTTTTTTTTTGCTTGATGCCATGTCGCTTTGCTTAAAGAGTGCCCAGTCTTTTTCTTATGAAGGGCCAAAAACCTTGATTGAGTGTGGTGGGCCAAAGTTAGATATGCCACACTCTATTACATTAAAGTTGCCATTGTTGATTTCAAAATGTATTTAAATTAAAAACATTGCTTTATATGAACTAATGCTGAATATTTTTAATTTATAACGAACTTCTTACAGTAAAAACAATTGCATTTATAACAGAATGGTGTTACACTAGTCAAGCTGTGCCTGTTTTTTTGTTTGTTTGTTTTTTTGCCTTGATTTGCATTGCCGATGTGTTCTGCATTGTCCTCTATTCATTGAGTGACTATTCATATTTAAAAGGTTCATTTACAACATTAATATGAATCATTTATTTTCAGTTTTTTTTTTTTGTAGCTCAGCAATTAAACAAACAAAACTAATGTTAAATTAAAAATAACAATCTCTGTTAAAGGCATTCGCCCCAACTCCCATCATTCTCACTCTCTTCTCAGATAGAATGGTGGGCCAAATCAAAAATTTCCAAGGGCCAACTTTGGTCCGCGGGCCCTAGTTTGGACATCGCTGATTAATATTTGCTGGTAGGGAAAATCTATTTGTTCACTTGTGCTATTTATACTTTGACTTTGCATTTCAATTGATCCTCTAATTGTACTAAATCCGCAAATTAGAATAGAAACTGTATAAAAAGCACACCAACATACTGACAGTTATATATCTGGATTGTTATGTGTCAATGATGCTTCCATTCAGCACAAATGCATACATTTCTCTTTTCTGGCTGTTCTTTCTATGAGGGAATTCTGTAGAAGCACAGCCCAGGCATATCTCATGTCAGTTAGTTATGCTGTATGTTGTTGCACAACAATTATCTAGCTTTCTGGCTAAAAAGTAAGTAAAACATTACCCACAGCCATATCACTCTGCAGCCCAAGACCGGTTACTCACTGAAGCTAAGCAGTTGTTAGGGTTAGGGTCAGTACATTGGAGATCACGTGGGAAAACTAGGTTGCTGTTGGAAGTGGTGTTAGTGGGGTCAGCAGGAAGCACTCAGCCTGTGTGAGTCCTAACGCCCCAGTAAAGTGAAGAGGACACCATACTGTCAGTGGGCGCTGACTTTCGGATGAGACGTTAAACCCAGGTCCTGACTCTCTGTGGTCATTAAAAATCATGTGGCACTTCTTGTAAAGAGTAAGGGTGTAACCTTGTGTCCTAGCCTAATTCCCTCTATCGGTCCTTACCCATCATGACCTACCATTCATTCCTGTTCACTGAATTGGCTCTATCACTGTCTCCACTCCACCTATAGCTGGTGTGAGGTGAGGAAACTGGCACCATTGGACAGGATTTAGAATGACATGAGGGTCAAAAATTAACAGAAATGCTTTGTCGAACTAACGCTTTATATATTCATTGAAGTAAACAACAACCTTTAAGTGTTACTGGGGGTTATTACAAGACTTTTATCAATGTGAATGAAGTATGATCTGGTTCTTTGCCCGGTTTAAAAAAATCTGTGCAGAATATAAAGTAATTTCATGTACTTTTATGTCAAACTTACGATAATTGAGAGGTGTTGAGCTGCACCTTGAGGGTCATCATTTGTTTTCCAGTACACTTAAGCACAGCTTCCTCAATCTTTTCTTTTAATGCCTCCAGACCACATTGTTTAAGAGCTGATATAGGGATAACCTCAGGATCACTGGACTCATATCTGAAGAGCATATGTTGTTGTTAACATTATTATATAGGATAAACCCTATAGGATGCTTTTTTTAAAGGGGTCACAATAGACACATACCATATTCAATACACAAACAAATACATCTCATTCAAAACATTTGGTAGACTGTTTTTGGTGGCTGGTTGCTAGTTGGTGTTTATTTGATGTTAGTGAATTGTAGTAAATGTTTTGTCTATGTTTCTGTGATTATTTGGTGTGTTTTTTTGTCTGCGTTTTGTTTTGTGTTTAAAGTGTTGTGAGTTTTTTTTAGCATGTTGCTATGTAGTTTCTAGGGTGCTCTGGATGGTTTCGTTGAGGACATTGCTATGAGATTGTTAAAGTAATATGTGTAATTTTATTATTAAAAGTTTTTTAAGTTGTTTTAGCATATTGCTAAAGCAGTTGCTAAGATGGTCTTGGTGGTTGATGAGTGTTTATGTGCCCAGTATGTTGCTATTTAATTCCCAAAATGTATTTTAACCAATTGCTATGTTGTTGCTAGGCAGTTTTATTTGATAAGACATTAGGTATGTCCCAAATCACATATATGCAATATTCTATGTCATTTTGTAATATAATTAGTGTAAGTATTCCATTCACTGCATGGTTAAGTGTGTAAGTGCATAGTGTCATTAAGGAACGCAACTAAAAGCATAGTTTTTAAAGTTCAAGCTCCTTTTTTATCTGTTGCTATGTGTTTGCTAGGTGTTTTTGTTGGCATGGCATTTTTCAAATAGTACTTCTTGCATTAAGTCACATGATTTAGCCCAAGGTATTTGTATCCGCAGCATAAACTACAAGGCAATTAACATTGGGAAGTTTATCACATCAGGTTTGACAATAGTATGAGCAATAAAGACCACTTAAAATAACAATGAATTATTTGATTACTGGATTGTTACACAAATGAAGAAGACAGTTATGGCTCACCCCTCAATGAGGTCAATCTTATTGTGCACCTCTATTATAGAGGTCAGGAGTCTTTCTGGGATCTGAAGATTGTTCAGCACATTCAGTACATTGACCTTTTGGCTGACAGTTTCTGGATGACTGATGTCTCTTACGTGAATTATGAGGTCCTGCAAAAAGAGAGGGTATTTACTTTCCAAAACAAAATTGACCTATTATGTCCCTTTTTTCACAAAATGTAAAATAAGTCTCTGATGCCCCAAGAGTGTTTATGCTAGGTTTATACAACACAAATAATTTTGTATAACTTAAACTGCCCCTTTTAAGCTTTGAACCTAATTGTACAGTTTTAGGGGGATTATGTTATGACACTCATCTCTGATGTTCCTAGAGTGTGCATGCTGCTAAGTTTCAGCTCATAATAACCACAGAAATAATGTTTTATAACTCTTTGAAACTGTCCTTTTTAGGCTTTAAACTAGGTTTTGGTTGACTCTCTTTATTAAAGGTTTTGACTGTCTCTTTAAATTTAAATGATATTGTGCTCCCAGCCCTCATTTTTAAAACAGGGTGGTGCTATACACAGCTATGTGTCAGCATAGTGGCAGATTCAAACCTCTAATGGCAGACAGCTGCTTCTCACTCAGGGCTGTTTATGCTAATAGATAGTCACTAACAGGCAGGGCTCTCTTCCTTCGACGATGTGCAAAGGGAAAAATGTCAATCAAAGTGTTTCTACCGACTGTTTTTGTAAAGTGTAATAATAATTTTTTAATAATAAAAAATAATAATAATAATAATAAAAAATCCTATTAAAGGCTGGCTATATTCACACACTGTTGCCACACAAATGTGTTTTAAAAGTGATTTTTGCACTATAGGTCCCCTTTAGGTATTGTTTGGGTACATACAGAATGTATCACATCCTCCAGCGTGGCAGAGAAGGAGTCTATCAGCTGATGAGGGAGCTGCGACAAAAAGCCAATGGTATCTACATACAGTACAGTCATGTGACACGGCAGCTGTCCTGCATGTACTGTAACATCCAGTGTGGCAAAGAGCTGGTCTTTAGGCTGAAGCCCATCATCTCCAGTCAGAGCTTTAATCAAAGTGGTTTTACCTTTAAAAAAACAAAAGACTGTTTAATGTGCTTCCTACAATCTCAAATAACAGGTTAATATGAATCCAAATCTCACCACAGTTGGTGTAGCCCATGACAGAGATGATGGGAAAGTCTTTGTGTTTGCGCTGCGAGCGCAGCAGATTCCTCTTCCTCCTCAGGCGCTCCAGGGCTGATCGGATCTTCAGCTCTCGCTCCTTTAACAATCGCTGCTGCATTTCATACAGGGTTTCACCTGAAAACAACATTTGAGTTCTACTTAAATACATACTGTATTCCCAGGATTGAAAATAACCCTGGAATAAATGTTTTAAGTATTAGAATGTTGTTTTTGTCCTTACCAGAACCCATAATGTACCTTGGGCCACCACCTTGCTGGTCTAAATTTGCAACCTCATTTCTCAGGCGTGATCTTTTGCATTCAAAAAACAAATGTGTTGTTAAAACATTTCAAACTATTGCAATGCTTAAAAAAATATTTAGCCTATCTATCTTCTATTACACTGATCATATCACACCCTCCCAAACCTTTAAACAGTGGTAACTGAAAAATAACAGTTAATTTAATAACTGTCAGAAATGTACATAACTCATAAATGTAATCAGAAAACATTTAGGAGAAGATTTTAATAACTAACATAATTTACCTGAACAAGGGAATCTCTGCTAAAGAGATCTGCAGTTTGGCTTCTTTTGTTTTAGCGTTACAGCGGAAAATGTGCAGGACAAGTGAGTATCTGTCAAGCACCTTAACTCCCCAGGCTTCCTCTAAGTCTTTCTGAAACATAAGCAGAGCACATTGCATGATTCTTTGAAAAATGAAAAACACTTTAACTACAAATGCGTTACAAGATAGAACTTCAGATCCAATAACAGCCACACTGAATCTAATACAATATACCAGTAATAACCATGCAGATACAACATGTGGCATCTTAGAAAATAATCATAATCATAGTATTCAGAAACATTTGTCGCAGCAGTACTAAACTTTTTCACTCCAAGACCTCCCATGGTCTACAGTAATATTACAATAGTATATAAATATGTGTGTGTGTGTGTGTGTGTGTGTGTGTGTGTGTGTGTGTGTGTGTGTGTGTGTGTGTGTGTGTGTGTGTGTGTGGTTTATATACAATAAATGCAATATAATCTAATATATTCATGGTCTGTTTCTTAAATTTAAAAAAGTTGAAGCTGAATAAAAAAATGAATGTACTGGTTTTTACTTCTTAAAATGCTTGGGACTCCTGTTTAAATTGAACATTTCAGCAGTTTGTTCTCTAAATACTCACTTCTGATGAAGGTGAAAGACGTTCCACGTTCACAAAGACAGCTGTGACCCCAGGAGTAGCTCTAATCTTCTCTAGAAATATACTGAAGTCAGTTTGTGTCTAGTTAACTTTTTACAATTCTAAACCAGCACTACACATACCTGTAAGCATCTGAAAGTTTCCTTTCCCGAAAATTCTTTTCTTCTCCGGCGTCTTGGTGGAGAGGATGAGCTTATCAACAACACTCCACTTGTGTAAAGTTTTCACCAGGCCAACAGCCTCTTCCATCTGAAGTGCCGCTGTTTTAAAGAGCAACTATGCATTATGTAGTGTGACTGAGGTAAAGTTGGTTTTACATACACACATTCAGACCTTCTCCTTAATAAATTCATTTCAGAAAAGCATTCTTTGCCAATGTAAAAAGTGAAATGATATCAGCATCCAATGACTATTAGAGAACTACGTTGTTTACAGTAAAAAAATAATAAAAATATTATTTTCAAGTTATAATTAAATGTGTTGTTACAACCGAACATTTAAAGTACTATAGTAAACAATATAGGGGGCATGTCAGTCACAAGTTGCCACTGAACGAATGTGCAAATATACAACCAACTTTAACTCAATTGTAGTGTGACACATTTTAAAATGGTAAAACAAGACTAATTTACCTGTGGTCAGATATTGCTTTCTGCTCCCCCATTTTACATCTGGGTGAACAATGAAGACCCTGTGGTCTTCTTTACCAATACCAGAGGGGATTTGCTCCTGAAACAGCTTCTCTATTTCTGCGTCATCAATTTCATCTTCCTCTACATTATTGTCATCTGTGTTGTCATATTTGAACATGCGAGCTGTCAAAGACAAAGTCCTTGCAGGCAGAACTGGAACCACAAGCCCAGGCTTTAAACTTTGGGATGGTAATGTGTTTACAATTAATTTTGAGGCACACTGAGGAAATCTGACTACTTCACATTTAGCAAATCTCACGTATGACCTGCTCAGAACATGTTTGCATAAAAACACATGTCTGGTCAAGACACTGATTTTGTTCAGATTCATTTTTTTCAGGTTTATGTTACAAAATAATAAACAGCCAAATCATTGAACGTTACCTTTACATTGAACGCTAAACGCACATAAAGCAAAATATTCCAGAAAGCAATTTGTTTGACTTAACTAACACACTAATGATGAGTTTCCGTGTGCATGTTTTGATCCATCTTCTTCTCTTGTGTTAAACTGAGGCGTTTAACTCAACTGCGCCGCCTGTGAAATAGGATAATACTACATAATCTTAGTTTTTCTCTTTTAAATACACATTTATATAAACGTCATGTATTTTATAAATATATTAATAAATGTAAGTGTTTATAGTTTGTTGAATAGTTACACACAACCCTTCCTAACGACAGCAAAAATATGAAAACAGGACTTATATTTTGGAATCCAATCGAGGACTTTTAATTTGACTGGTAGTAGTAAGGGTCCTGCATGATACTTCTGCACAACTTACTGTTCAGAACAGTATAACAATGTCTGGTATCGTTAAGGCAATGTCGAGTGAGTATAAATATATTTTTGGTATACACATTTGCTCAGTGTTTGAATTATGTTATATCATATTTTTATTTGGTGACTATATGAATATGCGTCATTTTACTTTACATTGTGAAAGTTTTGGGCTTCTTCAATGTACAAATATGATTTTGTTTACGTTTTGACTAAAATTATCTATTAAATAACAGATATTTAAAAGGCATTTTGTGGTTCACATGGTGTTTTCTGTTCATTTAAGGTTTTGAACTGCGTTATACGGCAGTTTTATCTCAGCTCTGTCGACTTTTGATGTTGAAAATTCAACTTTTATGACTTTAATTTGCATTTTAGTAGTTTGAGACAAAATATTGTTTAGGAAATAATCTAGAGAGAATGAAGTCTGTAAAATAACTTGTATAAAACAAAGCACTGGCAGTTTATTACTAGGTTTTTGTGCAGTAATTTACAATACAAACACAGGGAATAAATCAAATATCACTTCAAGCTATTAAAAATGTCAACAAAAGTCCGTTTTCAAACTTCTCAACATTATTTTGCTTACTGCAGAGGAAAGAGATCGCATATTGCAATCGAAAAACATAAATAAGTAAAAAAAAACATGAATTGCTAAATATGAAAAATACTAATTTACAGATTTTTTTTTCTTTTTTTACTGTGAAGCCCTATTTCGTATAAACAACGTTTTTACTTAGCCTTCAACTTTAAAGAAATCAAAACTTCAATAAAGCTGGTGTATTTCATTTGACAAATGTGCAAAACTCCCAAAACAAAATCCTTCGGATGAGACTGCTGGTTTGAAGTTGAAGTTGTGAGTTGTGAATCATTGATCTTGCAGTGGCTAATAAACAAACTATTGATCTTCTGCCCTCTAGAGTTTCGACTGGCTGTGGTGCAGTTGCATGTGTCAAAGATTAAAGCAGACAATTTAGGAAGAGCACAAACACTTGTGACGGAGGCTGCAGGACAAGGTGCAAAAGTTGTTGTTTTACCAGTGAGTATTACATCCTTGGGTTATATATTATTCACCAGTATTGTATGAAGTGTTTGGTACATTGTAATTAGTTTATGTAAAACATTTCATTATACATTATCCATGTTTATTTATAGGAGTGCTTCAACTCGCCTTATGGAACTGGGTTTTTTAAAGAGTATGCTGAGAAAATTCCTGGAGAGTCCACGCAGGTGTTGTCAGAGACCGCCAAAAAGTGTGGGATCTATTTAGTTGGTGGTAAGACCCTATGACACAAGCCAGCACATTAGACTTGTTCATGCCAGTCATTCATCATGTGTCCGGGATTTTCTGTACCACACATGATTTTTCTATTAATTTCCATGCCACTGATGTGATTTTTCCATATTGTAGGTTCCATTCCAGAGGAGGATGGAGGGAAGCTCTACAACACCTGCTCGGTTTTTGGACCTGATGGAAAGCTGCTTGTCACACACAGAAAAGTGAGTTGAGACATATATTCATTCCTTCATTTTCCTTCATTTTCCTTCATTTTCCTTTGGCTCAGTCCCTTTATTAATCTGAGGTCACCACAGTGGAATGAACTGCCAACTTATCCAGCATGTGTTTTAGGCAGTGGAACCTAGAAGTGGGAAACACCCATTCACTCACATTCACACACATGCACGACGGCCACAGAAATGTCAACTGACCCCGCCAGGGCTTGAACCAGTGACCTTCCTGCTGTGTGGCGAGAGCGCTGCTCACTGGGCCATTGTGATGCCTGAGACATTTATATTGTTGCAAAATTAAAGTGAAAATTGAAGTTAAAGTAATGATGTGACCAAGAATGTCGGCCCATACTCAGAATTTGTGCTCCATGCACATACATCAGTGAATATACTGTTACTGTGAACACACACCCGGAGTATTGTGTATTGTGTATTACAGAACTTTTGCTTCAAATAGATTCTGTTATTTTGATTAACTGAACTAATTGAATTTCATTTTTATCATCAAAGAATCTTGGAAAAAAATGTGTTTCCACAAAAATATTAAGCACATAGCTGTTCTCAACATTGATACGATTTTTTTTCTTGAGGACCAAATCAGGATATTAGAATGATTTCTGAAGGACCTTGTGACACTGAAGCCATATCACCCTGCTGTCCAAGACCAGTTACTCACTGAAGCTAAGCAGGGCTCAGCCTGGTCAGTACCTGGATAGGAGACCACATGAAAAAGCTAGGTTGCTGTTAGAAGTTGTGTTATCGAGGCCAGCAGATGTACTCAATCTGCAGTCTGTGTGGGTCCTAATTCCCCAGTAAAGTGAAGGGGACACTATACTGTCAGTGAGCACGGTCTTTCAGATGAGACGTTAAACCAAGGTCCTGACTTTCTGTGGTCATTAAAAATCCCATGGCTCTGCTCGTAAGGAATAGGGGTGTAACCCCCGGTGTCCTGGCCAAATTCTCTCCATCTGCCCTTAATCGTTATGGTTATCATCCCCATCCACTGAATTGGCTCCATCACTGTCTCTCCACTCCACCTATGGCTGTTGTGTGGTGAGTGCACTGGCGTCGTTGTCCCGTGGCTGCCATTGCGTCATCCAAGTGGATGCTGCACACTGGTGGTTTGGAGAGACCCCCCTCATGATTATGAAACACTTTGGGTGTATGACCATACACAATAAATGTGCTTTATATATTTATGTATAATAAATACACATTACATTACATAAAGATTGGAGTTATAATGCTGAAATTTCAGCTGTAAAAGGAATTAAAAAACATCATTATATATTAAAATGTAGAACATTTCATTAATATAATGATCATATTTCACAATAATAAATTAAACAATATCATATCTTTTCATCATTATCTTTAGGTTACAGTATGGCTGTAAAAACAATTGTGGAATATTCATGCACTTTATCCTAATTTTTATTCAGATTCATCTCTTTGATATCGACGTACCAGGAAAAATACGATTTCAGGAGTCTGAAACACTAAGTCCAGGCAAAAGTTTATCTATGTTTGAGACCCGTAAGTGTGTATTTGGAACTACAGTATAATACATTTTGGCAAAAATTATAGATTTATTAATTGTTTGTAGAATTTTCTGCATGCTTATTTAAACTTTTACATTCTCACAGTTATAAAACATGAAAAATGTAATAATAAAAACATCACAGTCATAACTACTGTACACCTATTTAATGTCAACATTAAGTAATTTATCAAAAGCAATAAGAACATGATTATTAAATGATTGACATAAATTTTGCCTTTTATACCCTGTGCATTCTTCTTGTCTGTCTTTACAGCATATTGTAAAGTAGGTGTGGGAATTTGTTATGACATCCGGTTTGCAGAGCTTGCACAAATCTATGCTAAGAAAGGTGAAAATCATTACACACCAAAAAAAAAAAAAAAAGAAAAAATGTGTGTATATATATATATATATATATATATATATATATATATATATATATATATATATATATATATATATATATATACATATATATATATATATATATATATATACACACACACACACACACACATATATATACGGTAATTTAAGCATGTTTGATGTTATTTACTCATATGTTTGTCTGTGTAGGTTGCCAGCTTTTGGTGTATCCTGGTGCTTTCAATATGACCACAGGTCCTGCTCACTGGGAGCTGCTGCAGAGGGGGAGGTCAGTATCACAGACCACTCTTGTTTACAACTGCTATTAAGATTTTGACAATCCGATCACAAATGGGCACTACTAAATACAGCTGGAAATGGTGTCTAAAGTGTTTGAGCTTGTCCACTTTTCATTAATTTTCTGATGTAGTTGATTGGTAAATTCACAATAAAACATACTGACATCTTTAAAAGATTGATAAAGGAAATAGTGAATGGACATCCCCAAAAAACTTAGGTGCTTGATTTAATGAAACAGCATGGTAAAAGTAAATAATCTGCAAACACTGGCCTATTTTAGGTTCAGATCCTGTTATGAGTTTTTGTCCTCCATAAATCATCTACAAAAAAGCTGACCAATAATCAGAACTTTATAATAAAACATCAGACTTTAAGTCATCCTCACTCAGGGAAACAGTTAAAGAATAAGGGCTCTATTTTGACGATACATACGCAAAGTGCAAAGCGCAGGACACAAACTCATCAAGGGTGTGGCAGAGTCCACTTTTGGTCTAAAAGGGTTGAGCTTATTTTCTTAAGGAGTTATAGGTGTGTTTTGAGAATAAACCAATCAGAGTCTCATCTCCCATTCCCTTTAAAAGTCAGTTGCATTGCGCATAGCGCATTTGCTATTTACATGACGATTTTGTAAGTGGAAAAACTGAGCATTTCATTAGTACTAAAACTGTAAACAGAGCATCCACACCACGAGAATGAGAGATAAGGCTTTCTTATTATCTACCTTCACTTTCGCTCTAGTGGATAGGGAAACCTGAATTGTAAGACATCAATTAGCCTATAAATAATTAATTTCTTTTGTTAAGTGCAAAGAAATGTTTCAAAACTATTTCTAAATTTATTTCTAATTTTCAGCAAATGAATAAATAAACAATAACGAAGTGTGGTCAAAAAACTGAGTTATATCCAAATACACATGCTATTGCCTTTATGGTCTAAAACAGTGGTTCCCAACCTGGGGTCCGCGCCCCCCTAAGGGGGGCGTCAGAGTTCACAGGGGGGGCGCGGGAGAGGATA